TAATTAAGAAATATAAGCTAATAGATAGTTATCTATAATAGTCAAGCTTGTAGTCATGTTAGTTAGGTTTTCTAGATATACAGATATATTTAAATTAGACGGATAATCTTCAAACCTTTTTGTGGAGGAGGTCAGAAGGGTAAGGGGCAGACATGAGAAAAGTAGAATGTGTGATCAGGGTACATTATGTAAAATCCCCAAGTAATCTATAAAAATATTACTTAAAAACAAAAAAAATTAAAAATTTTGTAGGGGACTAGTTAAATAGTTGGTAGCTTGTCTACTGCATGCTATATCTACTGTGTAATTTACCAGAATAGTGGATTTACCTTTCACAGTGATAGCTTACTTACTAACTTTTTATTATAACGATTTTGAAAATCTGTGCTAATTTTGTATGATTGTTTTAAAGTAATAATGCTTTCATTTAAAAATCAAATGAGTTCATTTGGTGTTAAAATGATATCCCGATGTTAATATTTTAAATGAGAGTATATATTTAAAAGTTGATTACATGCTGCACTGTGTACACTGGAATTAGCTGTGGGACAGATGGAAATGTGGAAACGCTTGTCTGAACCCAGGAGGCAGTTTGCTTTATGCAGGAACACAGCTCAGATGGGAAATAAGCATTTACTGGATGTGGCTCGTTGGTCATTTATGTCTGTATTACCGCTTCAGAACATTTTACCTGAGTGTTTAATGTTTGGTGTGCTCTTAAGTTCCTGTGCTATAACCTTATTCTTAAATATTTTCTTAAGAGTAAACCACAACTCCCCAAACGGTTCCAAGCTGATAGTATTACAGAAAGAAAAGAGCTAGGCCCGGTTCCCCAGTCCAACTATTCAGGAAGCTGAAACGTGAAGATCAGAAGCTCAAGGACAGCCCAAGCACTTTAGAGAGACCTGTCTAAAAGGGTTAAATGAAGGTGAATTTATTAGTTACTCCTATAGCTGGGACAAAGCACCATGATCAAATGCAATTTAAGGAAGAGCGCGTAGTCTGAGAAGGTTCCAGAGCCATAGGAATCCATGGCGACAGAGGAGAGGCACAGCAGCAGGCAGCTAGCTGGCTTGCAGCCTACAACTCCCCAGTGCCAAGAGCACGCTGCTAACTCTTGGAAGATCTGGGTTGGTCTTGGTTGGCCACATTTTATGGGTCTAGTTCAGGTTCTCTTTCCACATTCATGCAGCTATCTGAGATGGGTCTCTAAATTGGAGCCACAAGGTAAAATAGGCCTTTTCATTTTAATATAAAAGTGTTTTCTCTATGGATGGTGTAAATCCTGGTCATCTATTAACCCTTATCACTTTCTCATATTTCTCTTTGTTTTCAATTCCCAGCACTGGCATAGCAGCTCACAACCATTTATTACTCCAGTCTTGGGGGAATGTGATGTCCTCTTCTGGCCTTGTTGAGAACTAGGCATGCATGGAGTACACTTACGTACTTGCAGGAAAAACACACATATGCATGAAAGAAAAATAAGTAAATCTTTTTTTAAAAAAACATTCCCCAGGGAAAGAAGTACAAAGCTATATAAAGCAAGAGATCTTCCCTTGAAGTGTAAGTAAGTGCATGTCTCCTAGCAACTATGGAAAGGAGGGTGAATGGGAGGGAGAAGTGTAAAGGGAAGACTGTGAGGGAACTGAAAGAAGGCTGCGACTCTGGTGATTTACAAAATCATAGCTTCTATTCACTGTCTAGTTCATGAAAAATCAAATCTACAGTGGACTGATGAGAGGGCTCTGGCTTGACAAGAGAACTCAGTAGGCCAACAGGAGCCCTCAGTGGGTCAGCAAGAGGCCTCAGTGGGTCAACAAGAGGCCTCAGTGGGCCGACAAGGGGCCTCAGGGTGTAAAGGCACAAGCTATTCAAGCCTGGACATCTCTGTTCATCTGAGAACACCAGTAATGGTGGAAAAAAGATCCAACTGACAAAGTTGTCCTCTGATCTCTACAGAAGCTCCGTGGCATGAGGCCACCCTACAACATCAGCGCTTGCACGCACACACACACACACACACACACACACACACACACACGCACGTGCACACTTTTTCAAATTTACACAGTAAAGTTTAATAAAGCTGGGGCTGAAGTGACTTTACCCTCAACAGCAAACTTCTCTTTGCCTTTCTTGGTTTTACATCCTCATTGGCCAGGATGGCTCAAGATGCTGAATTACTCAGCTTCTCACCTGAGCCTTTAAGTCACATCACAGTCGGGCAAACATCAGCACGTCTCATGAACAATTTTTCTTCCACTTGTGTTACCATGAAATTCCAGCCAAATTAAAACAAAACAGATCAGAAAAACCACTTGGAAAGGAACACTAATGAAATCATTTTGCTTTCTTTATGAAAGTGATAATTACTATGCTGATTTTAAATAATTGTATATGCATTTCAGGCCCATGGTTAATGAATAAAGAGTCTTCCTTGGCCTGTGATAGGGCAGAGTAGAACTAGGCAGGGAAAACTAAACTGAATGCTGGGAGAAAGAATGGTGTAGGATTTCCTTTTGTTTGTGTGTTGCTTTCATTGGATAATGAATAAAGAAACTGCCTTGGCCTAGTTGATAGGACAATACTTAGGTAGGCAGAGAAGACAGAACTAAATGCTGGAAAGAAGGGCAGAGTGAAAGCCACCATGGATCTCCTGCCTGAGATGGACACTGGTTAGAATCTTGCCAGTAAGCCACGGTTACATGGCAATATACAGATTAATAGACATGGATTAAATTAAGATGTAAAAATTAGCATTCCTGGCATTTCATTCTTTGTTGTTGTTGGTTTTCAGTTCTGCTATTGAAGAACAACTTGTAACTAAGAACTCATTTGAGAAGTTGGGTGTGGCTCGGTGTGCAAACATGCCTGTTGCACAGGCAAGAAAGCCAAAGTTTGGACCACCAGAATTCACATAAATGTTGTAAAGTCAAGATAGCCTGCCATAATCCCAACACTGAGGAATCTGAAACAGAAATCTCTGAAACAAACTGGGGAGACAGACTAACTGCATGGAGGAGTTTTGGGCTCAAGTGAGTGGTACTCACTTGTCATGGCTTTCCATTGTGTGTTCTGGTTAGTCTTATTTTAAATAGTGGATCTAAAGGAAAAGAGTGGCAGTCTGGCAATTAGAATATACCAAACCAAACTCAAAACAATCCCACTAAGCAAAGAGGTGACTGTGCAAAATAATATTTCAGGAGAAACCATCATCTTATAGAATTATTATAATTCATTATCATAATTTTTCTGTTTTCTATTATAATTGTTAAATTCTTTACTGTGACCAATTTCAATAAAGCTTTATCATGGGTAAAAAAAAATAGCCAATAACAAGTTAGAGCTAATGGGCCATGCAGTGTTTAAATGAATACAGTTTCTGTATGATTATTTCAGGTATAAGATCGCCAAGTGGCCGGGATGACAAGCAGCCCACTCCTCCTATTATAAAAGAAGGCAGAATCAGGAAGATGCCATGGAGCTCCCAGAGGGGAAAGACACAAGCAACCGCTGAAACTTGCCGGTAAGCCACAAGCCTCATACTAAAATAAAAAAAATAGAAATGCACTAATTCTAGATGTAAAAGCTAGCCAGTAAGTAACAAGAGTCAAGCAGTGATTTAATTAATACAGTTTCTGGGTGATTATTTCAGGTCTGAGCAGCCAGGAATGAACGAGTAGGCTCCTACGACACCCTAGTAAAAAGTAAAAATAAGTAAATAAATAATAAATATAAAAAAGAAAAGAATCAGTCAGTGTATAGACAAAGAGAATAATGTTTCCATGCAGATCCTAGCTGCTGCAATGGCTCTCCTAACCTCAGTGGTCCATTCTCACCAGATGGGTCTGAAGCTCCATTAAGATTAAGAATCTCATGCTCTACCGACTGAGAGTGCTGTGGGACAGGGGTCTGTACCTTGTCACTTGTATTTTAGATAAATTCTGATTGGCCTAGTATATCAGGCTTCTTATTAACTCTTATAACCTATATTAACCTATAATTTTTGTCTATGTTAGCCACATGACTTGGTACCTTTTTCTGGCGAGGCAGTCACATCTTGTTTGCTCTTTGTCTGAGTGACAACTGCAAACTGAACTTTCCCCTTCCCAGAATTCTCTTTGCCCCACCTCCACTTCCTGCCTGGTCACTGGCCAATCAGTGTTGATTTAAAATACAAGGGACAGGGTACAGATCATTGTCCCACAACAGATCACAGAGGGTTGCGTTTGTGGCTTCTGCCAGGTCATCATGCTCACTATGATTCTTGACACCTTGTCAGTTGCACTAGAAACATTTTACTTAATAACGTACTAAATTTCAGCATTAAAAATAGTACAATTATGAAGAGTCCTTCTAAAACTTTTGAAATAAACAATGAATACTTATTTTCATTCATTTTTTTCAAAGATAACCCTCTTGACCCATTTAGGATCTTCTTTTGCTACCAATTAAAATTTAGGGGCCTGGAGAGATGGCTTAGCCTTTAAGAGTGCTTGCTGTGTTTGTAGACCACCTGAGATCACCTCCCAGAACCCACAAGGGGCGGCACATAGCACCAGGCAATCTGATGCAATCTTCTGGCCTCTGAAGGTGGATCATTTATGCAGACATACACACAAACACATATAAACATAATTAAAAATAAAAATATTTAAAATTCAGGGCTGGGAAGATGTATCAGTGGATCCAAACCAGTGGCTACAGGAGTCTATGACTTGAGTAGGAATTCCTGAAATATATGTATGCCATGTTTGTTAGCACATGGCAATCCCGGTGTTCATATGGTGAGATGGGGAGTGAGGACAGAATTATCTCACCTAGAAGCCTGTGGACTAACAAGCTTGGCGTATAGCAACTAGATACCATCCTCAAACAAGGTGGAAGGAGAGACAGACCCCCCAAAAGAGTCTCTGACCCCTAAATGTATATCAGTGGGTGTGCACACTTACACACACACACACACACACAGATAAATTTAATACAAAATATTCGAAATGTAACACAATTTTATTTACAATCTAAACCTTTTTAAAAGCAATTTTAGTGAAATTAGAACATCTGAGACACCAGTGAACATTTAAATGAAGAAACTGAGTGGGAACCGTTTTCTCCAGTTTCAGTTGTTCTGTGTTTTAGCAAAAGGCAACGTGGTAGTGCCTTCAACACTCCTTCCACTACAGAAGAGAGTGCCACAGGACCTCTCGGTCACTTTTTCTTTCCCGGCTTCTTCTTCTTCTGTGAGTCAGAAACTGGAGACTTCTTCTCTGACTCCGCCTTCATTGCAGCCTCCTGGGCTGCCAAAGCCTCCAGCCTTAAGCGCTCAGCCTCCAGTAACTTGTTTCTGTATTCTTCCCGGATGTCAAAGATCTTCTGCCGGGCTTCATCTACTGAATCCTATTCCAAAACAAACCCAAGCCAATCAGTCTCACTGATAATGATGCACAAGCAGCAGGAGAATAAATACGTTTTCTTTATCCTGTCCTCAAGCTAACACATTAATGGGGAAACTCACTGAAGATTGGAGCGAGGTTTGTCCTTGAACGTTTAGGAATATGTGATACAAGGCAAGTGAAAAACAAAGGGCAGAGACATTGGTAGAGATTCTGGTTGTGGAACTTTGCCTTAGATGAGTTCAGAATCCAGCTGCCCCTCACACAGCAGTTGTGCTCGGGAGATTACTAGGCCCCACCTGTGCTCTAACTCTGACAAGATACACCAGGGTTGTGCTGCAGTAAAGAACAGTTAGCCTGCTATCTTTCTTTCATTCTCAGCATGGTAGATAACAGTACTATCTAGCACACCGGCCACCAGTGTGTAGCTACATTCAACATCAGTTCTTGATTCTGTTCCTACTTAACCGTCTCTTCTGCAGTCAGCTGACCTCTCTGGGCTCACCGGATGTCACATTAGTGCCTCATCCTCAGTCTCGCTATCTGTCCATCTCAGGACCTCCTGCTGCTTCCTCATCTCCTTCCTCTCTGAATGTGGAGAAGGCCTCACTGTTGTTGACTTCTTCAAACTCAATACCGTGGAATAATAAGGATTAATGGATCAATACTGGAATAAAGAAAACTTTCTATAAATGTCAGCTTTCTCTTCATGCTAATTTCTATGAGGGTTTTCCCCACTGTTCTGCAATGGGCATGATTTTACTGAGAAGCTGGAATAGCTGGATGCCAGAATCAGACTTCACAATGCATTTGATGGAATAAACTTACTATAACTTCCATAAAAATGGATTCCTAGAGCAAAGCCCCCTGGCATAAGATAGCAGTATGTGCATATTGGAAAGAGTGAGTGAGCAAGATACAGACATCTTAAGGATGTGTACCAAGTCAGTTGAACACATGTCAGTAAACTTCTGAGGGGTTTTGAGAGAGCTATTCTCTCCCGCTTGATAAGAAATGTATTATTCTTGGGTTTCTCTTAAAAAGGCTTCAGTCAAAATGAGGGTGTTTATTTGTACCCCACATTTGAATGACTGGGCTCTGAACTCAGAGTCCCAGTTAATATTTCTTCTCTACACATCCTCATCTGTCGCAATAGCTTGGCTTCTAAACACAGAAATTAGGTCCATAACCTTGAAACTCCCTATTTCTGATAATGTATTATGTTATATTGAATCTGTGTGATTTAACGTCATTCATTGATTCCGATTCATTTATGAAACACAATTCCTTTTATTTCCTTTTGAAAGTATAAGAACAAACCTGAACCGAGGCTGTTTTTATCTACAGTCTGTTCTCTAGGAGAGATAGGCTTAAAATGCATTCATATTTTATTATAAATATATTAAGCTTTCATTTTTAAACAATAAGGAAGTAACTTAAAAATAGGAAAATAACTTAAAAAATCAAAACCAGGCATGATCATACCATTAGTGCAATCAATAAAATATTTCCCCATTCTTTTTCAGGCTCAAGGTAACATGGCCCTCCATATTAGATTGATAACTTTACTATAACAATGTAACAGCAACCAGGTAATTGTTTTAAAGTTCTTTATGTTGGACAATCGACCAAAGTTGACTCCATCTTTGAAGCTCTTAGTAAACGTGTGATTTCTTTAACCAATACAATTTGAATGGAAATAACTGCTATTCTGGACAGACGTGGCATGACCCAACTGCCATGCTCAGTTCAATGTGGTCACAGCAGAGTTTCCACAAATGATCTCTTCCAGCCTCATTCAGTATCTTAGACATTAGCGGAACCCACTGCACTGCATTAGACATAAGAAACTCCAGGGCTTGGTGAGCTCAAGTCTCTGGAGCAAATCTGACTATTGCCTGTTTTGTTTTGCTTTGTTTTAATAAAGTATTGTTTATTTGGTGTATTCTCATTTAGTTAAGTATTAACATTGATTATGTGTTAATATTGGTAAGATGAGGTAACTAGAAGCAGTAGATATGATGGACAAGTAGATAAACAGTCAAAGATCCCACAGAGGAAAAAATTTCACCCCCCTTTAAAGAAAACAAGCTTAGCAGATCCTGCATAAGTCACTGGAATGGTGAGATTGTTTGTTACCACAGAAGGAGATAATTTATCCTGAATGACAGAGCCCTCTGGCTGCTAAGGACAGACTACATCAAAGAACGACAAAGGTGGAAGTAGCTAACTAGATCAATGAGGGATCTGTAGAAAGACCCTGACCAGAAACCACAATGGTCTGCACTGGGGTACTGGATATAGAGAGAGTGGCGGCAGCGGAGCTTCCAATAGATTCTCATAGTAGACTACGTGGGCTTTGATAGTGGATCACTGGTGAAGACTGACAGGCAGGGCTGTCTCAAAGGTTTCTGCTCTGAACAAGAGAAGTTGAGATTGTCAATTCCTAAGATGACAATGGTGAAGTAACATGTTTGTCCTGAAATGAGAGAGAGGGCTAAAATTGCTACAATTAATATTTGGAGATTTTTGTTTGAAATGCCTATTGAACAAAACAAAGAGATATCTAACGAGCAGATTCCTCCACATCAGTAAGCAATACTGTGGTGGAGAATCCAGTATTACTATGGCTAAAATACTTAGAAAGTTCTATAGCTCTCTGTCTGTGTATGTGCGCATGTGTGTGTGTGCATGTGCACGCATCCATGTGCACATGCATATATATGTGTCTGCCTATATCTCTGTGTGTAAGAGTATGGTGTAGTATGTGTAAGAGTGTGTCTGTATGTCAGTGCAGTGTGTGAGTGTATGAGTGTGTGTTTGTGTGAGCATGTTTGAGTGTATTTGTGTGTGTGTATATATGTTAGGGGAGTGAGAAGAGAGCAATAAGTCTCTGTCATCAGAGATGGAAGTCATTCTTCCACATTTACTGCATCTTTCCATTTCTGTCATAGTCTTATCTTCAATTAACCTGTCTCCCACTGCATAGAAAACTTTTCTTTGGAGGTGTCTTCATAAAACTCCTCTACACTGCTACAGATGTGTGTATGTGTGTGTGTGGCAGGGAGGGGGGAGCAGGGGGGCAGGAGGCACAGAGATAATGGTTACCACAGTGAAAAGTTGTGGTTTTGATCTGTAACTTTAAGCCTAATTATCAATTGTCGCATTTTGTTTTCACTTCATAATATCCGTGGTGCCGGCCTGCTGGGCTTGTGGGATATCCTGCGAAGATGCTATGAGTAAACAGGCAGATTCTAAAGCATTTTCCACAGCCAGCATTGGGTCACGGGTGCTCACCCTGTAATTTTATACATGCACAAACAGTGTCTCGTCCTCTCTCACATTCGTTCCATCTTAAGATAGATTCCTATTATGATAGGCTAGTGGGATTAAAGGAGGCGGTGAGTGAAAGGAGATACATGGATGGATGCCCAGCCTTTCTGGGAGGTGATGAACTTTCGAGTCGGATACTATGAATTCTTTCTACTCATATGTGCAACTTTGATTTCTTTTTCCTGTTACCAAGGAACCTGACAGATGTGGTCAGAGGTGCTGCTAGACTTACCCGCATCTCTCCATATGTTTCTAGAACATGATCCTTTAGCTTCAGACGTTCTTCCTGATCAATGTCTCTGACGCTAAGGATTCGGGACCTATACTGCCGGAACTGGTGGATTTCTTCTGCCTTCTGCATTGCTTGCTGCTTGTTCAGTTCCTCTGTTTGCAACACAGCCTCGTCACTTGTTTTCCTTGATATAAAATGTCAGATGAAATAAGAGCATCATTTTTGAGAGTTTGAAAGTAAATAATACTTCAGAATACAAATTAATTTAGAATTGTGTTAACAGTGAGCTGGGCTGAATCAAACCAAACATGAGAGTTAGTGGAATAAAAGATTAATTTTTAAAAATTGGGTTAGGTACTCATTGATATTTTAGAAAATATTATGGGAAGTATCAGATAAATCATTAGATAAGGTGACTATGAAACTGGTTCCAAAACTATGAGAATTGTGTGGGTTTTACATCTAAATTTATCAATTTCACAAGAGTGATGACATTCTCAAACAAAAACATGCACAACAGGCTCTATTAATCCTATTATTAAGTTCTAAAGAAAATGTAACTTCATTAAATAATAGTCGTGGGTAGTATGAGAACTTTATGTAGGTTCAGATTAATTTTTTACAAAAGTCACTTAAATGAGTTGATAATGTAATAAAATATTTGAGAAATATAAGATGAATAATCTTGTAGCTTTAAAGACAAACAAAATGAAGATATATTAAGCATTTAATTTCAACTTTTCAGTTACTTAGCAATTACCAATTGGGGCTATATCTAACATTTTATGAACACACTTGTCTGCATTAATCATTTTTGCTAAAAACTCACCGTACATAATGACTGAAGTCCACAAATTCTAGTGCTTTTCGAATGAGTCGTGGAGACGTTTCCAGAACTGTCTGAGATCGTGGACGGGATACTGTTGGAAAGCAAACACAGGCTTCCAGAAGTAAATAGCTAAATAGCTATTATATTTCCTTCTGGTTGAAAACAATGCTTTCTGCTAAGAAACAGCCCTGTACTTTTGCTATTATTTTTTGAAAAACACTTATGAATTTTATTTCATATTTATCCTTTTGTGTAAATTTGTCTATAGCTAAGTAAAAGATGTAAAAATATGAATATGCAACATCAGAATAGTAACAAATTCTTTCCTATTTGCAGTTAAATGAGGGAGGAAAATAGCCTCTTATTTAAATTACAAAATTTCATTGTAAGCAAATTAAATGATTCAAAATTGAAAGAGCTTGAAAAATGTCTGAAAATCATGCTGAGCACTATGGGAGTTGGAATTTAAATGTACGTAAGACGCGTTATTACACCTTCCTCTGGATTGAACAATATATAAAATGAATACACTGAAGATCAAAGGACCAACTTTTACTCCATGCACCCACAGGGAGCCACATGAGCAGATTTAATAAAGAATTTTAGCCTTTGGATGATAATGACCTTTTGACTTTTCCAGACCACTATGTCTTTAAAATAAAAAGAAAGCATCATTTTCAAGCAAAACAAACAAAAAAAAACCTACCTCATCTGAAGGATACATGCAATACTTTTAAAATAAATCTAGTAGGTTCTTGGATCACCATAAAAACCCAGTTTTAAGACATTTGCATAATTCAGACCGGTTCCTGTCCTTCTATAGTCAGAGTGTCCCTTCCCCCAGAAGCTCCGGCATGCGAGCCATTAGTCTACATTGGTCAACCTAGGTTTGTTTCCTAAACATCTCCTATAAGCAGGAATGAGTTGGGTCACGAGGTAAAATAATGGCAGTTAACCTCTTAAGGGATTTTCAAACCACAGTAAGTTTTTATTTGTTTCTTTCTTTCTTTTGATGTGCTAGCATGCATAGGGTGCATGCGCGGAGTGGGGGCGGGGAGCAGAGAATGGCTTTGGGGAGTCAGCTCTCACCTTCAACCTTGGTGAAGCGGGATTTCTCTTATTGCTGCTGCTGTACATCACACTACGGCCAGCTGGCCAGCGAACCTCCAACCCGTTCTATGCCTACTTCCCATCTCCAGCAGCACCAGGAAGACAGACGCATGACACCGCGTCTGGCTTTAATGTGGCAGGCAGTGAACTCAGATAGTCAGGCTTACATGGCAAGCAGGTACTTTATCTCACTAACCCAACTCTAGCCCTCTACCCAAAGTGACTGTGATTAAGATCGTGATAAAATTCGAATCCCCTTGATCCCCTTATGTTGTCTTATTGCTATTGCTAGAACTTCAAGCACTATATTGAAGAGGTATGGCGAGAGTGGGCAGCCTTGTCGTGTTCCTGAGTTTAGTGGGTCCCCAGTTAGTCCCTTGGGAAGCTGAGGATAGGAAACCTGAACTGACCCTATCCTATAGCATTACTGACGAATATCTTTCATATCACCATAGAACCTTCATCTGGTGATGGATGGAGATAGAGACAGAGACCCACACTGGAGCACTGGACTGAGCTCCCAAGGTCCCAATGAGAAGCAGATGGAGGGAGAACACGAGCAAGGATGTCAGGACCACGGGGGGTGCACCCACCCACTGAGACAGTGGGGCTGATCTATTGGGAGCTCACCAAAGCCAGCTGGACTGTGACTGAAACAGCATGGGATAAAATCGGACTCTCTGATCATGGCGAACAATGAGGACTGATGAGAAGCCAAGGTCAATGGCAAGGGGTTTTGATCCTACTTCATGTTCTGGCTTGGTGGGAGCCTAGCCAGTTTGGATGTTCACCTTCCTAGACATGGACGGAGGGGGGAGGACCTTGGACTTTCCACAGGGCAGGGAACCATGACTGCTCTTTGGATAGGAGAGGGAGGGGGAGAGGAGTGGGGGGAGGGGGAGAAGAGAGGGGGGAGGGGGAGGGAAATGGGAGGCTGGGAGGAGGCGGAAACTTTTTTTTTTCTTATTCTCAATAAAATAAAAAAAAAGATCGTGATAAAAGTTGTAATTACAAAGAAGAAAATCTTTCCATTTCATTCTCTATGTTTTCAATTCTTATTTCTAAGAGTAGTTTTGGAATCACGGCGTTATTGGAGTTACTCAGTTTAACCCTTCTCCAATGCATGCACAACTTCCCCCATTGTTGATATTTCCCAAGGGCCACCATCTCCCAAACGCCATTGTTTACTTTAGTGATTACTCTAGGTCGGGAATATTGTATGGGTTTGGATAACTGTATGGAGCCGTGGATTGACATATCATTGAGAGAACATTCTCTGACCCAGAAAGGCTCCAGTCACGAATGGAGCTTTTGCTCTCATTCACCGCCACTCAACTACTGATCCTACTGATGGCTTTCCAGAAAGTAATGGTGTTGTCACTGCACAGTATGTCGTCTTCCCTGATGGCCTCCTTTGCTTGCCTTTTCTTACTTCATGGGGCATTTCTCAAGTAAGACATAGGTCATATGGATACCAATTCTAGTATTACTGAACAGAAAAAAAAAGTCAAAAGATATCTTTAAGGTCTGGAATAAGACAAGGATGCTTACATTCATCACTTTCATTCAACATAGTCTGCAAGGGCTTACCAGAACAACTGGGCAAGAGGAAGAGTAACAAATCTTACCAATATTAGAAAAAAAAAATGTTTACAGACAAAATATAACTAGACAGAATTTCTAGAGCTAGTGAATTAGGCCACCAGGTATTCATCCTCATACATGGATCTGTGAAACCCTGTATGGGTTGCTTAGTTATCACAGGACCAAGTTTCTGATTGACAGACTGACTTTGGCTCAGCCTCCCTGAGTTCTTGCCCTTTATTCTGTTTCTGTGGCATATCCAATTTAGTGATCTTTTGAATTATATTTACATCCTTGGTGTGAATCCAACTTGATCATAGTGAATAATATTTTTAGTGTGTTGTTGTATTTGCTTTGTCAGGGCTTTTACAGATTTGTTTTATTTTAAATTGTGTGTGTGGGGTGTGTGTGTGTGTGTGTGTGTGTATGTGTGTATGTGTGTGTGTGTATGGGAGGCATACAGAAGCTTCTTCAACAGGCGGCTTCCATTATGGCTGTCCACCTTACCTTTGGAGACATGGTCACTTGCTGAGTCCGGAGCTCATTGTTTCAGTAGACTCACTGGTCAGTGAACTCAGGGATCCACATGTTTCCAAGCTGCTATGCACGTGAGGGGCAGACCTGAACTCGGGTCCTTCTGCTCCATAGCAAGTACTTTACCTACTGAGCTGTCCCCCAGCCCAGGCCCTCATCATCTCTGTAAGCTGAGTGTCCAGAAACTTGCCTATCTGTTTTAGGTCACTGCCGGCAAACAGTTGTTCATAATAATCGCTAACACCACTTTTGTATTTCTCTGCTGTTAATTTTAATTTCTTTCTTTCCACATCCTATTTTTGCTTATTTGAGTCCTCCCTCTCCTTTTTAAAGTCCAGTGTAGGTATTCATTCATATTTTGATTTTCAGTCTCTAATTCATTCATTTCTGCTCTGGATTTTACTTCTTCCCTTCTAAATTTGAGCTGGCTTTGTTCTCAGTACTCCAGCTCCAAAAGTAGCTTTGTGCTTTTTTGAAGGTGGCATTCATCCTTAAAGACTCCCCTCTTAGCCTTGGCCATGTTTGATGGTTTCACTATATTATGCTACCATTTTCATTTCTTTGAGAATGGTTTTTTATAATAAACATTTGCATTTCCCACTATTTGGATCACATTGGTATTTGTGAAAGCAGGAGATAATACATTTTTCTTACACAGCTCCTTTTCCTCAGCCACCATTTGTATGATTATTGGCACATTGCTTTTGTGTCAGAAGCCAACCAGTACAGTTTTCCAATTACTTTCAAATCAATTAAAAATTTGGAAATAGGATTCTGATTTCTTTAAACATATACCTACATAATGAGCTCTTCTTGTGGATCTGAATTACTTTCTGGGGTCATTTTATCTTAATCCAGACACTTATTTTAAACCATCTGTTCTAGACTCACATCTATTGGTGTTTGTCTTCAGGAAGATGTACCTATTTTTTCTTAATCACTTCCTCTTTTTTTAAGTTTGCTTTTTTTTTTTTCAGTGCTTTAAATTGAACTTAGAACTTCGCATGTGCTAGGCAAGAGTTCTACCACGAAACTATAACTGTACTCCCATTTTAACTTAAGTTTTTAACAATGGTTTTTACTGGATAAAGAATTCTTAGTCAATAGTATTTTTTTCTAATTTCAGCATTTACTATAGGTCTTGTTACAATGAAAGAACTCTAGATTAATATCCCGGGGAGCCATGCTGTGGTGCCAGCTGTGACAGATGCACTTTTTTTTCTATTTTGGGAGCCCCAGTTTCACATGTGTGTTATAATCTGTGTATACTGCTGTTTCAAAGTCAAGTGTCCACCTTACCTTACCAGCCAGATCAGAACTCACCAACAGTCTCCTTAGGTGCACTCTGCTCTTTCTCTTCCTTCCCTGTTACAGATATTTTGCTATCACTGCCTGTAGACTTTGACAGATCCTTGATGCTCTTGGACAGTTGCCACTTCTTCCAAAGCAAACCTCCTGTTGCAGGTGGTGGCATTTCTTTGCTGTCTTCTTTCTTCAACGGTGCACTTCCTGTTGCATGTAGTGGCACTTCTTTGGTGTCTGTGTCTTTCCCAGCACCTCCTGCTACTTCTCCTATAGCATAATGTATACGTTCCTGAAAAAGAATAACTTGCACTCCGCGAAGTCACTTGCAAAACAAATCTAACAAGGCTTGTTTCTAGGAGCTCAGATTTGGAGGACACAATGTCATAGCTTTGCAGTGTCTAACCTGCAGCATCAGGATGTCAAAGCATGATATGACTACTGTAGGCATAAGTGTATGGTGAGCCTGGCAACCTCCTGGAATATGAAAGCCACATACAATCAGAAGCTTTTAGAAACTGGGACAATATTGACAGAAGTGAGGTTTTAAGTATTGGAACCACTGTACATAGGCAAGGCACTTCTCTTTGGGAAGGGACTAGTAAGACTTGGCATTAAATTTTCTTAAAATAAAACTGAAGGGGGTTCTTACGTGTGAAGATCCTAAAGCTAGGAGGATTTTCTTTAGTAGTGATTCTAACAGTGACTTCTAGGCCATGGAGAAACTGTAATGACCAACCCTAAATTTCATGCTAACCATGCACTCTTCTCCTATTTATTCATCCATTGTAGGTGATTTACTTTGCATTATATTCTAATTTGAATGAAATGCAGCGTTTGGGATGTGAATTGCTTCTGCCTCCATATAAGTTTAGAGCAGTGGTACTTGGATATAGTTGGGCATGTATGAGAAGACATACCTCCTTTGAAATGGTTCAAAGGAGGACCAGGTCTGCATGTTTGCAGGGTCTCTTGTTTCTCATGAATGTAGAAATATTATTGAGATTTTCTCTACCTTGGAGATCAAGAAGTACATCAATTAGTTGATGATAAATGCCAAATAAAATATAGTTTGTCTTCTGTATCACTGGGCTTTGTATCCATGGATTTAGTCAACTAACCACTAATCAAGAGTTTGTTAAGGCAGGGCTGGAGAAATGGCTCAGTGTTTAAGAGCACTAGGTGCTTTTCTAGAAGACCCATATTTGAATTTCAGCACCCATATGGCAACTGGCTATAGCTCTAGTTTCAGGAGATCTGATGATGTCTTCTGGCCTCCTTGAACACCAGACACACATGTGGTATGTAAACATACATGCAGGAAAAAAAACACACATACATAACATAAAAAATAAAAATTAATGAATTAATACAGAATTTTAAACATATATGGTTAAAGGATGACAGATGCCCACGAGGTAAAGTAATGCTTGCTATGTAAGTCTAGTGATCTGAGTTCAACTCCTGGGGTCCATGTAGAGGAGAAAACGGACTAGCAAAGTTGTCCGCCCTCTATATGTGTAGTATGGCGACCATCCTTACAGCATGCACATGCACATGCACAAACACATAGCATAATAAGTACTAAACAATTTGAAATATGTAGTTGAAAATGTTATTTTGTTATCTACTGCGTAGTTAGTTCTATGTTAGTTTTACTGGTGATGAACATACACATATACATAAATATATATACACATACATATACACATTGTTTGCCTTTATATTCTCTAAATTATATAGCATAACAACTACTTATAAGCACTTAGATTGAATTATGATTATAAGAATTATGACGATAATTTAAAGCATGCAGGAAAATGTGCATAGATTAAATGCAAAGACATCACCGTGTCGTAGAAGGGTCTAGAATGCCTGTGCATTTTGATAGACACTGTAGGTCTTGGGAGTGATAACCTTTGGGCACTAGGGTCAACTGTAAGTTAAGAAATGCAAGTTTCCAAGCCATGACAAATGTTCCATATAAGTAGTTATCTTCATTATGACTCTTATTATTTTTTTATTCTTCTTAAGAAGGTGCCAGATTTATGGCAGTAATAGGACTGCCTCCGATTCCACATGACTACCATCACACTGAGTAATCACCTCATTTCATCTCTGCTTCCATCTTTTCCTTATCTTTTTTTTTTCTTTTTCAAGACTCTCCTGTAGCCCAGGCTGGCCCTGAATCCACTCTATAGCTGAAGGTGAGCACAAACTTCTGAACCTCCTGCCTTACCTCCCAAATGCTGGGATTTCAGATGAGTGCCACCGTACCATATCCTTCAACTTTGCTTAAGTAGGGAAAATCACCTCTGCTCATGTGTGGAGAACGGGCATGTGAGTCTTAGAAGAGAAAGTACAAGCGGTTTGATAATCAAAAGGCTATCTGTGTCCTGATGTGAAGCCCCATGGCCTTTCACCATCCTGAGTACCAGAAACTTTGAAATAATTCCTTGTCACTAAGGAGGCCCTGCCAAATGCCTGGGAAGGTGGGTGGCCTCCACTGACCTTCATCTGTGGTTTTAAATTGAGTCTGGCTTGCAGACAAAGTTTCTTGGCCGGGGACATCAGATGGCTTCTTGATGAACCGGTTGAGGTACTTCAAACGGGCCTGTGCAGCCTGGAAGACAGACATCAGTCAGCCTGTGTGCTCATTGAAAAGCAGCAAGCAGGGCGGACGGAAGCAAGCTGATGTGCTCAGAGAATACAGAAGATTAAAGAGGAAACACAAATAAGGTAGTTTAGACCAGGCCCACTCCTCACTAACTAACTAAAATTCAGAGCCCTCTGTGATTTCATCTGTCTGTAGATTACGACAGAGAACAAGGAAGAGAAAGAGCACGACCCACCATGCTAAGCTAATATACAAAGAATGTTATCTTAAATCCAACCGTTTCAGAATAATTATTTTATCTGCCTCGTTTACTGTGAATTAGGAAAAGGAACAGTGCAGGTAAAATACCTGTTTCACTATAACGTGGTGGTTCTCAACCTGTGGGTCGCTACCCCTTTGACAAACTCTATCTCCAATAATATTTGCATTATGGTTAACAATAGTAGAAAAATTACAGTTATGAAAGTAGCAAAGAAAATATTTTTATGATTGGGGGCCACCACAATGTAAGGAGCCTTACTAAGGGGTCACAGCACTAGGACGGTTGAGAACCACTGCCTAAGAGAAAGGTGACACAGGCACTGAAATTCCACCAGAGGGCAGCACACACTTTTTATTCTAAAGCTGATCCTCGTAGGAAAACACGTTAAACATTGCGTGCTCTCACTTTAGGCTTTTCAGGGCACCTGTGGATCCAGCCCTGCTCGGCTATGTAAAAATGAGGGGGTGGAGCAGGAGCCTCATAGTTTGGCACACCTCACGTCACAATTCAGCTCGTATCTGATCCAATTCCAAATCCCACACCTAAGAGAAATCCCGTGTGGCTGAGACAGGGCTCACGTCTCAGACCACGTCTACCCAGGAAGAATAAGAACGGCCTTTCCGGCACGGGACCTTGATAGCCCTCCCTGGTTCAGTCGCCTCCCAAGCTTGCTTCATGGCTCGTATTTCATCCGACCGATCCGTGTCCTTTTTCACATCCACATAGTCTGAGTCACTATGTTCAGAAACCAGCCTCAAAACCCAGTAGGGCTTGTTTGGATCTTCTTGCTGAGAGTGAGCAGTGGGTATTGGCTAGGGGGAGAAAAAAAGTTTTGTAAAAGGAATGCTTTTCTCTCCTAGGAGGGTTCTAGGATTCACTGCCTAAACTGTGATTTCACTCTTAGCTACTTACCGTCGAGACATCAAATCATAATTTGCACAAGACTTATGTTAGAGTGCCCGGTGTTCATTTTCACAGCAGCCATAGCAAATAAAGCAAACAGCATGAAGGTTTATCAGCTGGTGAATGACCAACGTACAGCTGTTCCTATGCTGTCTGCTGAGCACTGAACAAAAATCAAGACTGTCGTACACCACCATGTGGAAGAATCCTACAGGCATGCATTTTAGTAAAATGAATAACACAAAGTAGTTCCGCTTGGGTGAGGTACTTGTTTGACTTCTGTGAAAGGCAGACGTAGCGTGGTGACTGAAAGCAAGTGGCGAGTTCTCTCTGGCGCTCTGGTACAGGTGTGACAAAATGGGCCGCAATGGCTTCTGAACGTAGTCTACAACTTTTACCTTCAGTTACACGGTGTATATACTTGCGGAAGCCAATGGATTGTATAATTATGACTTGTGCCTTCGGAATTGGGGCTATGTCTCAGCAGATAAACCATGCTTGCTTCGAAAGGGTGAGGAGTGGCATTCAGAAGCCCAGAGCTCCAATGCTGACTGTTCGCAGCAACCCACTTGGAATTCCAGTGCTCAGAGGTAAAGATAGTATCCCCAGAGCAAACTGGCTAGCTAGGGCAGCCATGTCAATGAATTACCAATCCTTGCCTCAGTGAACATAATGGAAAGTGATTGAGAGAGACTCCCACCATTAATCCTGAGCTTCCACAGGCACATGAACACATATGTACCTACACATATGTGCACAAACACACACATTCATATGTATCATATGCGCATGAAAGAAACACAAGCGTTTATGCGCATCACTTTATGCAATCTTAACTTCAAATTATACACAGTAAAGTCTAAATTAGGCTGATGGGTGTTGTAGTTTGGTTTTTTCTTCCTGTGGATGTGAAAAATGCGATGACTGATCACTGAAAGCACCTTGGAAGAGAAAGGGTTTTTTGGGATTAGATTTTGAGGTCCATTACTGAAAGGAAGTCAGGAAGTAGCTCAAGCATAAACTGAAGCAAAAACCACAGAAGAAGGCTGCCTACTGGCTCGTGCTCAGCTCGTTGTCATATATAACCAAGCCTCACTCGCCTAGGGATGCTGCTAACTTCAGGGGGCTGGACCCTGCATCAAACATTGAAGAAGACGATTCCTCACAGACATGACCACAAGTCAATCTGATATAGGCGATTATTCAACTGACTTCCCACATGACTCTGGGCTGTGTTGGCTTAGATATAAAATCTAGCCAGTTAAGCGTGCTTGTGCTGCCAAACCTGCGGCTCTGAGTTCCAACCCCAGGGCAAACGTGGTAGAAAGAGAGAACTGGCTCCCACATTGTGTCCTCTGGCCTCCACATGTGCACCATGGTACCTATGAGTATGCGCGCGCACACACACTGTTTAAAAAATTTTAAATAAAATTTAAATTATACTTATGGTGACTCATGGTGTCTTCAAAAATTGTAAAGAAGACACTTGATCATTTCTGCCCCTGAGTGCATTCGCTACAGATTCACTCTAGAAGTGAGTGCTACTTCAATGACTATGGAAACAATTGCATGGGCTGGAGAGAGCAGAAATGGGTTTTGACTTTTACATATGAGAAGTTCATTCCTGAACAATCAGAGAGGGAGAGAGCCCCTTGCTCTCTGCCAAATTCTCTCCAAGAGTTTTTATTTAATAAGCTGGCATGTATGGTGTCCCGCTGATATGATACATTCCATGACCAAAAGCAACTTGGGAAAAAAAAGGATTTTCATAGTTAACTGACTTTGAGTCACCAGGCTCTGGAAGTGCGATCTTCCAGGACCCCAGCAGGCAAGTTGAAGGTTCAAACTGGTGTGCTTGCAGAATGCAGTGCGGAAGAGTAACTAGTAATGTAACCATCTGAAATAATGTAACTGAGGAAGAGAAGGTTGCAACCATTGAATAAGTTTTCACTGAAATTTGGTTTTATTATTACCGAGAAGACCTTGCTTCCTACTTTATTTTCTTAGTATTTTAATGAGAATTAAGTCTCAGATGGAAAGTTCTCTCTTACTTTTGAAGCCTAGCGTTTTAGCTTTACTCTTTAAAATGGCTTCAAAAGTGAGGTGATAGAACTTTCCCAGTGTCGAACTTTGACAGATAGCGAACTGTCAAGGTGCTGAGAGATGAATCTGTGGATCCAGCCAAACTTGGGTTCTTCAACAACACAGCTAAGAAATAGGATCTTTCAAATGTTAGTGATCTCTCACTTCTGGAGTCTAGGATGGTGAGTTCTCATTTCTTCCTATTGCTGCCTCCCTCTCTGTCCTGAGGGACAAGTGGTACCAGGGTCTGTTCAGTAAGGGAATCGCATCGGACCCACCTGAGGTTCAAAGCGAGGCGTTTGCTTTTCCTTGGCCAACTTCTCTTTCTCCGCAGCCTTATCTTTGCCTTTCCGTGTTGTTTTGGAAATCCCTACAGATTTCTGCCCTTCACTGGCAGCATGGGAATCTGGGCTTCCTATGGTAGTTAGTTCTTCATGCTTCTCTACATGAGCTAAAGAGACACGGAAATGGAAAGCAGTGAAAGCCAAAGTGATGACAAGGCCATGTCCTATAGGGACATGGCAAGCATGTTTCATCTAGAGGTTGGATTGTTTTTCTTGTAAGCAAATGAACAAATGCTTCCTAAGAGCCAGTCAAAATTTTTTTAATAAAATTAAGATATAATTCATATAGCATAACTCAACATTGGTATATATAAAGCAGTGTATTTATATAGAAGTTATAAAGAAGATTATGCCACTATCAGACACTAGCCACTGTGTTTGTCTTTTATTTCATATGCTGCATATACACAATTCATTCATCTATGCTCTAACCTTTACTATTATTTGTTCTAATCTTTACTATTATTTCCTTCCTTTTGATTAAGGATTAATTTTATTTTTTTTCTCTAGCTTTGAAGTTTTTCTTTTTAAAAGATTTTTTATATGCTGGTGTGTGTGTCTGAGTGTGCATGTATGTGTGTGTGTGACACTTGTGTATATATGTGCCCCCAGACATCAGAAGGCATACGACTTTCTAGAGATGGAGTTACAGGCAGTTGTGGGTGGCCATGTAGGTGCTTGGTTCTCTGTAAGGGCACTAAGTGTGCTTAGCCCCCAAGCCATCTCTCTAGACCCCATCCCTCAGCTGCTGCTCTTAATGCAGGCAATTATGTTGAGATAATGTTGCTTTCTACACATCTATGAGATCTCCACATTCGCCTCTTATTGGTTTGTAGTTTTCCTCAATTGTGATCAGAGAACATAGCTGCATTATTTCTATTCCTTCCCATCTGTTTAGTCTCAGCTAAACAGATGTAAACTCAGTTTAGACTGTTTAGACTCGTGGCACCGCTTTATCTGTTGGCATCCTCCAGATGTTCTATTGGTCATGAGAAGAACATGTGTTCTGGTGCTGCTGAGTGGAGAATTCTGTTCCTAGGAAAGGTTTGTTTGCTGTATTATTCAAGCATTTTATAATCCTACTAATTTTCTGTTTAAATTTCTTTCCACCACTTAAAGTGCAGTATTTTCATTTCCAACTAGCTGTAGAATTAGCAATTTCTTCTTCAATACTAGTTTTGCCTCATGCATTTTATCAGAATTGATGTTAGGTTCATATGTTTATAACGGTTTTATTTTATTAATATGTGGTCTCTTTAGCATTATAAAATAACTAACATAACTGTTTGGATTCATTTGATTACTATTTGTAATGTGTGTTCCATTCTTCTGTCTTAAAACTGTTTGCATATTTTAAATCAAAAGATGCCCTCTTTTATAAATGTATAGAGTTGGATCATGTTTTGTAGTAAAGCACATTTAATTTACATTAAATATAATTACCTAAAAGGGAGGATTTATGTCTGCTATTTTGAAATTTATTTTACTACATATTTCATATCTTTTTCAGTTTCTCTAGTCTTGTTAGGACATTGTTTTGTTTCAAAACCACACTTAACATCTGCAGCATCTGTCTCAGGGTTTTTGCTTGTTTTCTATTCATTTTCATTTTGTTTGTGGTGTTTTGGGGTAAGATTATAATTCAAAATCTTTATACAATCAAGTTTGGAGTGATACCAGTTTAATCTCAATAAAACATAAAGACTTTTGCTCTTATATATTCCTTCTTGGTGCTGATAAAAATGTAAAAATTGCCCATATTCATGCTGTGCCCTTTAAATCTGGTTGATTAATTCACATGATGAAGCCATTATCAGGTTGCTTAATTTAGTGTGCAAGACTTGCACTAAGTCTGCATGTGTTGGCAGCATGTTCTCGAATGAGCTGTGAACTGGAAACCATCCCACTGACTCAACGTTATAAAACGTGTGGCCTCTAATTAGGAAGCCCTGGAGGACATCAATGTGTACATCAAGGTAGGGAAGAAGTGCTGGGGGACTACCTGTTGACATGCTGGTCCTGTTCAGCTTCAGGCAGCAGAGTTTAGTTACAGTGCGCCTCCCCATCTCAGGAGGACTTTCCTTTTAGAGGCTTAACTCACATTGCTAATGTCACACTTTGCACACGGGGTTTCAATTAAATTTATTTCTGAACTGTGTGTTGCTGTCTTACCTTCGATAGCCTAGTGTGTGTGCACACCAATCTCTTCTGTCATTGAGTATATATAAATCTCATTAGATAGTATTTCAAAACATATTTCCCCTACTACTAGCTAGATTCCCTTATGATTTTAATCGGGTTGTTGATGGTTCTCTTTCTCTCTTTCCTCCTCTCCCCCTCTCTCTTTTCCTTTCTCTCTCCCACCTCTTCCCCCCTCTCTCCCATTCTCTCTCCTTCCTTTCCTTTCCTTTTTCCTTTGACATTTCCCTCCTCTCATCCCCATCTGAGATTGAACCCAAAGCCTTGCTTGTGCCTAGCTGTGTGATTCACTTACCTGTTTCCACCACTGTCACCCTCTTCTCATGAGCTCTTCCTGGGTAATGTGGCCCCTGTTACTTGCTATGCATTTGGGATTGATTTGAGCAATAGTAGCATGACTATCTTCACTATATCATTATACAAGACAGATGTAACAAATGATTATAATATGAAAACAAGTCTTAAGAGATTTAGATAACTCATGGAACAGCCCACACAGGCAAACAGAGGGTTTGGGTCTTATTCTTTACTTTACTGTAATTCTAAGCTTCCAGGGTTATAATTTAACATTTATTAACACTATGATTTATCTCTAGAGACCAGGAAGGAAGGGTCGGAGGGATGAAGGGATGGAGGGAGGCAATAGCTTTGCTGAACACAGTAGCATACACAGTATTGTACTGTTTCTCTATTATTTTACTTATGCATGCAATTGTGAATATTTAATTCGCATATAGATCCTTATCATAACATATTTTTGAGACAGTGCTTCACTATGCAACCCTAGATACCTATAGTTATGGAAACTATACTGGCCTTGAACTCACCGAGATCCACCTGCCTCTGCCTCCTGGGCGCTGAAATTAAAGATGTATGTCGTAAACGAGTATATCGTTATTATTACTCTTTCCTAGCAACAATGGGTAATAGAATTTTATAAACATTAAATTTGTCTGTATATTTCTTGAAACGTTCACAAGTATAATTGGTGCATAAGTTTTGTTGAGTAGACAAAACATGACCTTATAAACATGCAAGGCTATAATGATGAAATATTCTTATTTTTCATAAATTATATAGTAAAATATTGAAACATAATCAATATAACAAAAATATGAGACTATACACTGTGAGCGATAACATTTTATAATTCTGTGATCAGCATGTAAGATATAAATGGCATGAGTAATATTTAAAGTGTGCAGCTGGAGAGATGTCTTAGTATTAATATTAAGAACATTGGTTGCTGTTGCAGAACAAGGTTCTGTTGCCAGCACCTATATGGAGGCTCACAGACATCTGGAACTCCAGTTTTAGGAGATCTAATACCCTCTTTAGACCTCCACAGGCATTGGGCAAACACATGGTGTCCTTATATAAATGCAAGCAAAACACACTTACATATAAAATAAAATAAATGTTTTTAAATTATTTAGGGTAACATACCTCTGCTATCAAATTTCTCTAAGTCTTTTAGTGCTTGAACAAACACCTGCTGCGTTTCTGTGAGAGGCCAGCTGTTAAACATCACCAAGCACTGTATGATGTACTTGTAGCACTGTGAAAGGGAGGGCAATGAATCAGGACAACCAAAAAAAACCCATACAGTACGCGCACTGAAAGACAGATTAGGTCAAACTTATAATGTGTCATTTTATAAATCATACAATCATAGGTTAACTAATTGATACATGTTTGCCACCACTTTCTGTTGTGGTTTGAGTAAGAATGGTCCCCATAGGCTCATATATGTGAATGCTTGGGGCCAAGCTGGTAGAATTGTTTTGGAAAGGATTAGGAAGTGCGGCTTGCTAGAGGAGGTGTGTCCTTGAGGGTGGGTTTTGAGCTTTCAAAAGCCCATGCCAGGCCCAGTCTCTCTGCCTCCAAGTTGCAGAGAAGATGTTAGTTCTTACATCCCTCCAGTGCCAGGCCTGCCTTCGGCCATGCTCCCCACCATGATGGTCATTGTCTCACACTCTGAATGTGTAAGTGAGCCCCCAGTTAAATGCTTCCTTTTATAGGTTGCCTTGGTCATGGTGTCTCTTCATAGCAACAATACAATAACAAAGACAACCTCTAACACACAGTGAGAGTGCATTTAACATTCCACCCCGGCCACTGCCTCTGTCGTCCACGTTTCTAGTTGTTAAGCAGTGCGATGGCATAAAGTAAAATCTCATCTCTGTGACATTTCCATGCTTTCTTATGTTATTGCAGAGCTTGAGAGGATCTTTCCAACGAGGTTGGCTTCTAGGGGTCTCTTTTCTTTGTACTCAAGTTATAAAGCCAGTGTCCTGCATCAACTGTTATTATATTTATGGATTAAATTTTCCTACTTAAATCTGCAGTGTATCTGGAATCCACCTTTATTTATAGCGTTAGCTGTGGTGAAGGAGAAGCAAGTCCCCTAGCCTCTAATAGGTTACCTTTCCTCCTTTAATTAACGGTTTCACCTCTTTTTTTTTTTAAATCAATCCTTCTTTTTATGCTGGCTAGTTTTATGTTAATTGTGAAGGGCTCTAGCAGGCCTGAGCATGACAAACAGGGCACCGAAAGGTTTTGCCTTTTAACCCTTCTCCCCCATGCTGAATTGTTAGATTATATTCCTAAAGCTAGTCACCAAGGTCTCTTCCCTTATTTGGCCACTGACTTATTCCTGAGACTGAACAGCCAGACACAACTCTCCAAGCACCAAGTTCCAGCAAGCCAAATTCATTATTTTGACTAGCCTAATTAAAATACCAATCAGAACTTATCAACACATCCGAACTCCCTCTAGCACAGACCTCTCCCTTTTTCCTCTAACACTTGCAAAACTATTTGCTGCTATTTCTGCCCAATTCAGGATTCAGACTCAGCCATTTTGTCTCTGCCCTGCTTAATGAAGGACCTCTTTGTGTTTTGTTTGTGCTTGGAAACCAGTGTTTTGGTGATGTGTGTGCCTAATCTGGAGTCCAGAGGGAAGAACCTCATGATGCATAGGTATTTTCAAACTGGGCACAGGGCTAGAGTCATGTGAGAGATGGGGAGCCTCAGGTAAGAAAATGCCTCCATAAAAGTCAAGCTGCAGGCAAGCCTGCTGTGCATTATCTTAATTCTTAGTTGGTGATTAATGTGGGAGGGCCCATTCCACTGTGGGTGGAGCTACCCCTGGGCTGGTGGTCTTGATTCTATGAGAAAACAGGTTGAGCATAAGCCAGGAGGGCACATGCTACTTAGTAATGAAAACTTTGATGTTATTATAATTGTAATTTTATTGCTTTATCGCTTTATTCAGATTATTATTTTCTAATGAATGAGTTTGGTCAAACTCCTCACGCCCACCAGTCCCTTATTTACACCTGCCCCAGTGTCTGACTGCAAGCACAGACTTGTCCACACTACTCCATGGCTGTGAAATCCTGTGCCATTTCCAGTGAGTGTACATTCATGCCTTCTGTGTTTTTCTTGGTCTTACGAGTAGCATACATACTTTAGAATTGTAAAATGTGAAACTAGTGAATTTTTTATTCATTTGGAGGTCTTTTGTTTGCATGTTTCTTGGTTTATTTCTTCATCCTTCTCACAACCTTGTCTCCTCTTCAGTGAGCTATTATTCAGCTCACTTCTACCTCTCATCGCATTAGCTCGGCTCACGTTTCAGATCATCCATGCCTCACTAATTAACTGAAGTAAATATTTCACTGAACGCACATTGGTGTTGCTGACAAAGCATAATTTGTAGAGTTTTTATTAAAACTCATCGAGTTAGCTATGTTTCATAAATTCTTAGTTGCTATTCTTTTAAAGTAAAAGATTATTTAGCTTATCATGTTTCCACACTTAGGGCTTTTAAACTATTCATTATTAATAATGTATTTGCTATTACATTATGCTAATACTACATATTTATGTCTATATCTAAAGGCATTGACTTTTATTGAAGCACTCATTAATTTTTATCACAAAATATTCATCTTTTTACAAATAATTACTTTAGTTTTATACATGTGTGCAAATGAGTGCAGGTGGCCTGCCTGGCAAGAGAGGATTCAGTCTCTGAAGCTGGGCTTCTGCATGGGTGCTGGAAACCAAACTTGTGTCCTTTGCCAGAGCAACAAGCATTCTAAACCACAAACTATCTCTCCAGCCCCAAACACATCTTTTAAAATATTCTCAGTGAAGTGGGGAGATGGCTGAGTGAGTAAGGTACTTCTGAAAGTGCAGAGACCTGAGTTCAAATTTCAAGAATGCTTCTAAAGCTGGGTGTGGTGGCTGTGCTGTAACCCTAGTGCTCCTGTGGCAAGACAGGAGGCTGAGGCAGAACATTGCCTAGAAATCTGGGCTAGCTAATCCAAGCATGAGCAGTAGCAAACAACAAAGAGACCCTGCTACAAATAAGTTAGAACGCAGGGAACCCAACCAGAGGTTGTCCTCTGGCTTTCTGTGGTGTGCTTTGACACATGAGTATGGGAATACTCACACACGTGGTGCTCAGAGGCACATACATAGAAGCAGTAAAATATCCTGGGTATACCAAGACAATGAGACATCTCAAATCCCCAGATACGATTCTAATTTTGCTCCTCAGCTGCATTGTTTTCCAGGAGGCCCGCATCGAATGTTTCAATTGGATCACTGACTGACTCACCTTCTTCCTAACTGCTTTTCATTCTCGTCTCAGCTGGGCAGTTGGGTGTCCATGATAATTAAGACCTCAACCACTTGATTCATTCTTCTTTTTAGTTTGCCATCTGCCTGTAATGATGTCTATGTAGTGTGACCTTGGACATCATTCCTGTTTATATTTTGTGCTAGATTAGTCCGGATTTTTTTGCATATATTTGGTCACTCCATGTAACTGTGCATGTGTATCAGGTGCACTTGAATGTGGTTTTCTCACTGTGTGCCTCTGCACATGTGGATCAGGTGCAGGTGTCTGTGATTTGGTCATACTGTGTGCCTGTGTACATGTGGATCAGGTGCAGGTGTCTGTGATTTGGTCATACTGTGTGCCTGTGCACATGTGGATCAGTATGACCAAATTACAGACAACTGTGGTTTGCTCACTCTGTGTGCCTGTGCACCTGTGTGTTAGACACACTTGGTCTCCGCATGCGCACGTGGAGGCCAGAGTCAGTTCTGAGTTCCTTTCGCAGTCACTCCCTGCTTTATTTTTTAAGACAGTCTCGCAGTGAATGCAGAACTTTGCATTCGTCTAGCCGAACTGGCTCTAGGATCTGCTTGGCTCAGCGTCCCAGCCTGGAGTCACATATGTAGATTTTACCCACTGAACCATCTTCCTAGCCCTAAAAAATTCTTTTTTTTTTTTCAGTTAATGTACCTGTTGTGCTGTGCTAGAATTTTCTTCTATAGTAGGCACATTCATAACTTCTTCTTCCAGCAGGGGCAGACCTACCTCTACCGCCACACTCCCAGGTCTGCCCTTAAAGGATTTCTGGCCTATTTGCCCGGTTTTTTTCTTTGTCATTACTTCTGGTTCTTTTTTAGGTGAAGTATGAGATAAGAGAATTTGCTTGCTAGCTAAAAAGGAGAAACATTATGTTAGTATATTTGATGGACATTGGTATTACTGACTAAATGAGCTACATATACACTTATAGAATACAGTGTACCTTAAAGGACATGCTTATTTTAAGAAGGAAAAAACCCACTGCATCCTTTCAAATTTTCTCGTCTTAGAGATATTTATTAAGAATGTCCATGTGACATGTGCTCAACTGTGTTCATAGCAGAATTGTTTGTCATAGCCAGAACCTGGAAACAACCTAAATGCCCCTTGACTGAAGAATGGATAGGAAAATGTGGTACATTTACACAATGGGGTACTATATAGGAGAAAAAAATAACGACATCTTGAATTTGCAGGCAAATGGATGGAGCTAAAAAACATCATTTTGAGTGAGGTAACCCAGACCCAGGGAGACAATTATTACATGTACTCACTCATAAGTGGTTTTTTAAACACAAAGCAAAGAAAACCAGCCTGCAAATCACAATCCCAGAGAACCTAGACAACAATGAGGACTCTAAGAGAGACATACATGGATCTAATCTACATGGGAAATAGAAAAAGACAAGGTCCCCTGAGTAAATTGGGAGCATGGTGACCATGGGTGAGGGTTGAAGGGACGGGGAGAGGCAGAGAGGGGAGCGGAAAAAAAATGTAGAGCTCAATAAAAATCAATTTAAAATAAAAAAGGATGCCCATGTGGGACTGGAGAGATGATGCATCAGCTAAGACTGTATGCTGTTCCTGAGGAGGATCCTGGTTTATTTCTGAGCATCCACCTGGTACCTGAAAACCACCAGTGACTCCACTTCCAGGAGATCCGACTCTTTTTTCTGGCCTCTGTCGGACCAGGCATGTGCATGGTCCATTCATACATGTATGTGAACACTCATATACATACATACATCTTTAAAAAAATAAAAGCAGTCTCATGTATAAGAAATTTTCACTAAGAAGTCTTTAAGGGAAAGTCATATCCAATCTACTGGTTTTGGAGCCTAATTAAACACATAATTACAACGGCATCACTGGGGTCAAGTATAGTGTTAAGTTTTGTTTTACATTGAAAATTAAGCCTTTTAGATGCCACAGCAACACAAGCATCTGTTCATGCAGGCAGCCATACGCCAGGCAGGTACTTACACTGGGAGCTCAGTGCTCTCTCACTTCCCAGGAAGTAGAAGGCAGGGATGATGGCTTGTCCTTTGCCCTGGGTGCTCACCATGGTCTCCTCGCTTTCCAGCACCTGCAGCTTGATGAAGGCATCGGGCTTGGATGTGCGGACCTGGATTGTAATGCACTGGGCCACTGACACTTTAATGGAGTACCTGTGGTGAGAAAGAAAGGTTTGGCTTTGTGAGCAAGAACGTCGATCTCTCCCTCGAGCTGATAAAGGAAATGGTGTGGTTTTTCTCATTTGATTGTCTTTGTAAGGCAGCTTTGTAAGGCCCATGGACTTGCTAAGATGTTAGAGTGACCACAGACTTTGACAAATGAGCCCAAAATGACAGTCAAGAAAAACAGTAGTGTGTTTCCACTGCTGAAGAACTCCAAGTAGGAAATGTATCATTTTGTTAAGTATGACAGGAAGTCACTTATGGAACAGGATACACCTACAAGCCACCATCCTTGAGAGTTATGTGACCACCACCACGTGTCACTTATATTCATACCAATGGACAAAAAACAGTTCAGGGAAGCAGACCTTTGTGAGTTTCACCCTTATTTGGTATTTCTGCTGTTTTCTTTCTCTAGTAATTCTTCACAAATGCTCAAGACATGGTAGATTTTTTTTTTCCAAGCAGATGCAAATAAAACAAAAAGTGAACCAGCAAAATCCATCACTTTGCCCTCCAGAGTGACCTGCCTTCCCTTCGGTGGGCCCCTCTCTGGGGTCCCCACCCTGCTCTTCTCACTAATTCATCTCCCTCTCCCATGCTTGGTACTGATCCAGAGTCTTGGTTTACACTGGCCAGGATCCCAACCATGTGTGCATCCCATATGGGAACTTTTAGTCTTATCTTCTGACCTTTTAGAAGAGTCTCTCAGAGTTGAAGGGATCCTTGTCTTTAGACACCTGCTGTGTGTGGGAAAATTAGCTTCACACCGTCCCTTCTCTTCAGGTCTGCTTTCTCAGGCCCCTCTGCCATTGATAATCTCACACATGTCAGAGAAGCAAGGCTCTGCTCTCATTCACAGACTGGAAGCAACATTCATTCTACAGTTCCCCAGGCTCTCTGTGCCATCAAATGGATCAGAGTTCCTAAACTGAAGCCTCTAGCTCAGCTACCTCTCTAGAATCATGTGGCTGTTACTAATATTTACAAACAAGAAGTCTTCCTACTGACCACCCTGCAAATTAGCTACTGCCCTGTGTCCTCCTCTGACATAAATGATGCCATTCAGACATTTCCCGAGGCAAGCCCAATCAACCAAGGCCATTTAACCTCCATGTTTTAAAACATTCTTTCCAGATGCACGCACCTCCTTCTGGTTTGTTGAACTGTATCTCTCTGTCCTACAGAAGCAATGTTGGAGACCTCACAAGGTCATCTCATGTGGAAATGGTTTTTCATTATAAAATAAGGTAAAGGATGAGGCCAAATCAGTATGGCTGGTGGCCTTAGAATAATAGGGCAGAATTTAGAAACAGTCACAAAATGAAACACAATATGAAGATGAAAATGAAGATTTGAGTGATGAACCCACAAGCCAAAGAACGTTAGCAAACCATGGAATGACGAGAGGAAAACAAGAAACAGATTCTTTCCTGAATGCTCTAGAGACACCTTCCCTGGGGACAACTTGACTCCAGAGTGAACTTCCCGACTGTGAGATGAGAAATTTTTGTTGTTCAACCACTCAGTGTTGTGTCGTAGGCTTGACAGGGCAGCTGTAGTGGACCTACAGACTGCCTGCTTCCAGTCACCAAGGCTACCACCTGTGCTATCTTACAGCTGTCCAACTGCTCCTCTACTTTTTGACACATTCCCCTTCATCCCAGTCAACATCAAGAAGCTGCCTGAGTCAATATGTTCCATAGTCCACACCTTGAACAATTAAATAGAATCTCATGATAATGTGGCTATATATTTCATCTTAGAAATTATATTAATTTTTTCAATTAATTAATTTTTCATGTATTATAGACATTTTTTTGTTTTGTTTTCTGTTGTTCAAGACAGTTTCTCTGTGTTGCCCTGGCTGTGCTAGAAATCGCTCTGGTCTGGATCTCAGAGATGCACCCGCCTCTACCACCCCAGTGCTGGGATTAAAGGTGTATACCACTGCCACTCGGCTATTTATAGACACATTTTTTTTTTTCACACAAGTCTGACAACGCCAGTTTCCTTAAAACTCTTAAAGCTTTCTGTTCCTGTGTTAGGAGAGCCTTCCAGAAGAGGTTCAGGGGAGGAATCTCTCTGGCCTGGTCACTCCATACTGCACCCTGGAAATGCACTTTGCAGAGAACTGGCCTCCATTCTCAGAAAACGCTGAGCCACTCCACACTCCTCAAGCAGCCTGCTCCCCAACTCCTCACCTCTCTATCCCACACCTTTAAGACCAGCTCCTGGGACTAATTTAGCTTTAGGTTAAACACCACTTCTTGGTCTGTAATTGGCCTCAGTGTGGTTCCATGGCTTTTAGCAAACAAGTTAGTCAAATTAGTAAACTAGTCACACTAGTAAACAAGTTAGTCAAACTAGCAAACTAGTCAGTCACACTAGTAAACAAGTTAGTCAAACTAGCAAACTAGTCACACTAGTAAACAAGTTAGTCACACTAGCAAACTAGTCACACTAGTAAACAAAGTAAATTAATCATTCCATTTTTAGTTTGTGCTTTCCTCTTTCCTTATTTTCTTTCTTATAGGCAATGTTGAAAATACATTACAGGAAGACAAACTGAGAGCAAACCCCCAACTTAATGTCTGCATTTTAGTGTGCTTCTAATCAGAATGTCAGAATGTTCTGCGTCTTTACCTAGAGATAAAATATGTTCGTGTATAAAGCTGAAACATGAGCTTAGGGCTGTACTATATATATTTTTTTCTGTGTTTGAATGTTATTACTTATTTAGCTTTGATTTAATTTTTTTTACAATTTCAAGGGGGAAAGTTTTTGTATTAAATAAGAATTATAGGAAAAAATCAGGCAGAGTATTATTATTTGTTAAATTTTTATCAGAAAGACTTGGTTTTACTGCTGTGGAATTCGCCTCTGTATGTTGTGAATATGTTTTATTATCATTGGTAAGTGATAAAGCTGTGTTGGCCCATGGCTTAGCAGAATATAGCCAGACTGAAAGAGCTAGAAAGAGAGAGTAGGCAGAGTCAGAGAGATGCTATGTAGCTCCTGAAGGAAAAAGATGCCATAACCAAAGGAGTAACATACTGGCACCAGTAAGCCACAGCCTAGAAATACACAGAATCATAGAAATGGGTTAATTTAAGGTACAAGAGTTAACTAAAAATACGCCTATGTTATTGACTAAACAGTGTTGTAATTAATATAGTTTCTGTCTGATTATTTGTGTCTGGGCAGCCAGGAAACAAACAAGCAGTCTGCTTTTACATTTTTCCCTCTAAAACCCAACTCACCAATGCATTGTGCCTTTAAAATATCTTTTCAATACAATAAAACATAGAAAATAATAGATTTTTTTAAAACTAGGCATCATAGATCATGCCCACCATGGCTTTGACCAAGTAACCGGCCGAGTATTCACACGAGTGGTGACTGGACAGCCGTAAAAAAGTTAAAGACATCTAGATGTTATTGATAAATGATCACAACAAAAGACTGCACGAGATGTCAGCACCACCATGTTCTCACTGTCATGATTCTTGGTAAACTATGACCAGAAAGAAAGGCTAGAAGAGAGAAGAACAAAGTGCTGTGACTGCTTGTTAGTTGTCTGATTATGAATGACATTTAGATATTTAATGTGTGTTCTAAATTCATGTGGAAGAATATTTTATAAAAATGCTTAATGCAGGCCAACTATGCCTTAGACACTGTGCTTCTTCCCATGTTGTAAGGGCATGTGTCTGGCCTCCAGTTTGAAAGGGCATGTGTCTGGCCTCCAGTTTGAAAGGGCATGTGTCTAGACTCCAGTTTGAAAGGGCATGTGTCTAGACTCCAGTTTGAAAGGGCATGTGTCTGGCCTCCAGTTAGTTTGGCTGTCTTCTTTAGAAGGCCTGCTCTTTCTGAAGAGGAAACGGAGAATAAATAAAGCTGGGGATTGGGGAGGTGGAGAGCTCAGAGGAGTGGAGGGAGAGGAAACTGTGGTCGGGGTGTAGTGTATGAGAGAAGAATCTATTTTTAGTGAAACTAAATTAAAAACGTTAATTCTCATAGAGGCTGATGAACAGATAATCGCCTAAAATGTGTATACATTACATAAAATGTTTACCACTGGAATGGCAACTGGATCATCTACTTATACGGGGCACTTTAATGCAAAAGGTTTACATTTTGAAAATTATCAGTAATTTTCTTTCAAAGTAGCAAAATGAGGATGGAATATCACAAAATAAATAAGTGTGCTAGGAAAATGAAATAGTACAGCTCACATGTCTGGAGGAAACCTTTTGTTCTACTGTGAGGCAGCCCTGGTTAGTGGTTTGATGGCGAACCTCCTTCAGCCAACGGCCTTTGAGAGGCTGGACCAGGTTGGGCATGGCTTTGGGTACCAAAAGGCCCGTGGGACGACCCGCTCTCCCTCTGGCTTCCTGCTCGCCACACCTGGCTATTTGATGTGATCAGTGAGTTCCCTTTTAATAAAGAACACTTTAGTATACCATATTAGGAGCTAGTACAGGATTTCTTTATTCACATTCCCCCCCATCTGGCACCCAATGTGTGGCTCAGTTCATGTTTACCGGGTCCCCCCTTCTCCCTCATGTGCTCCCACTTTCCGCCTGGACAAGGGCATTCAATATTGACTATGCAGCTAGAGTTTTACTCTACAGTCAATGGAAAATTAAAAACATTCTATAGGCATGTGTAAATATGTATGTGAGTAGTAAGGATAGACAAATAAATTGAGAAGGGAGAGTGAGTGGCAGTGCAATGTCTTAAGAGGGGTATCATGGAGTCCCAGACTCCAAAAACAACAGTTTTAGCTAACAAATATGAGGAAGTCCCTGAAGTAGTGTAGGAGCATTGAGAAGAGAGGAGGAGACCCACAGTGAGGCGATGGTGTGTCAGCATTAGAATCCAAAGAACAATTATTGAAAGAAAGCGGAATTGGTACTAGGACAATTCAAGGGGTGTGAATAGGTGAGCATGAAAAGAAGGCTGGAGTGACAAACAAGGATCCCCAGCCCCGCCCAGGACCAGAGAGTGGCTACAGATAGAGCGGGACCAGGAGAAAGTCAAATAGCTACAGAGACCAGGAAGATTCAATAGTGAAAGTGGTGTGAAACAAAGCCCAAGAATAGTATTGGCACTCTTTGAAACTGTGTAGGCTTGATCGAGCATCCATCTATTCCTGCTAGTGTTAGTTATTTCCATAAGATTATGAATTCATTTATAAAAATTACTGATATGTAAAGAACACATTTATCTGTCCATTATATACTTGTACCTGAACAGGATTTTCTTGTCATTAGGGATGTAGTAGTCTCTGATCTCCTTTATGGTGAAGGTGCTGCAAGGAGACTCTCGGGAGAGAAAAGGAAGCGGGATGTAGGAGCCAATGAGCCGCAGTTTCCAGCGCGCGCCTGACACATAAGCGTCACCAGTATAAGCTTCAGCCACAAACGTGTATCCCTTCTGAAAGAGAAGGCAGCCACACATACAGGATTCACATTGCCATGAGTCTCTCCAATATGTGGTCCACACATTGACATAAATATGCCACTACGTTGATACCCCCACAGAGTCCAAGATCTCCTAAGAATCATCAAGCCATTAATGTTATGCTTATCCTTTTTAGAAATAATTATCTTAGGGCTGAGGGTGTATTTAAGCGGTAGGATGCTTGCTTAGCTTCTGTGAAACCCTGGGTTAGATCCCCAGTGCTGTAAAGAAGAAAACTCTGAAAAATCTCACAGGTCAGTTCCTAAATCCCACAGTTCAGTCTTTGAGGGATTATGACAGAAGTAGGAAGACAAGTGTCCATTTAAGTGAGGAAGCATATATATTCGCAAGCCTCTTTCCAATAAGAGAGCTAGCTCATCAAGCTTCAAAGGATGCCTGGTGAAAATCCAAGGAACAAAGCAGACTCCTTCAAGCCAACATGAGTTTATACGAAAGAACAACTTCATTAGATCATATAACTAATTTACAAGTAAATAGTAGCAAAGCTGTTGACTTCACGTGGGGCCGGATGTCTCCTGATTAGGGCTCTAGTCAGGTAACCAGGATGGTTAGCACCCAGGGCTACGTTATATCTATCTGTTCACTAGCTTTAGACATCCTCTGTATGGGTGAAGATGTCTGTCTCTGGAGACCATCTCTGGGACATCACATCAAGATGGTTCATCAGTGCCAGATCAAATTGTTTAATGGTAAAGATACAAGGATAGAAATACCTCATAGAGAAATGATGAGGGCTTCAATTTACAGTAGTGTCATCCATGATTTGTTTTGTAAACTACTGACCCAATACATTTTATGAAAATGGATTTCTAGGATGTTGTATATTTGGGAAGTATTATATATTTCTCCTTTTCCTTTCTGGATATGTGTGTGTGTGTGTGTGTGTGTGTGTGTGTGTGTGTGTGCGTGCGTGTGTGTATTTAAATGTCAATAAATGTTTAAAACCCTGAGAAATCTGAAGATAACTATTTTATCCTTGATTCATTAACTTTTGACACTATAATTTTATAGACAAAACAGGCACCTTGAAAGACAAACATTTTATGTTGACATAATATGCTACACATATGTTCTCAAACTTTTCAGGGTGATACAGTGTTAATACAGTCACAGACGACAGTGCAAAGATTTAAGCAATAATTTTCTTTTCATCAGCTTTCTTCTGAGGTAACATTCCCAAAAAGATGACAAGATTACCCCACCCCACCCCCACCCCTCGCAAAAGCACCACAGTTAGTTCTCTGTTCACGGATGTCTACTTCTCTTACATAGCCTTCCCATTTCTCTCACTAAAATACAGATAGATACAGAAGGCAGAAGACATCAGAGAGGGATGGGAATGCTTGATGCAATCTGAATTTGCCATGTGAAATAACAGCTGAATGAAGATGAAATACGCATCTACATTTTGACTCAACTTGTATCCTTGAGAGAATTCCACCTAGTTTAGAGAGCCAACCATGCTAAAAAATAAACTCAAAACTGCACACACACACACACACCAAAACCTGTGAATTAAATATTCCTTAAATACCCCTTCCAAAATTAAATACCAGTGACTAATATTGATATAACTTATTTGGTGAAAGAAAGATCATCTCCAGACTTTGATGGCATCTATGACTTTGGTAGGTTCTTCCTTTAGACCAGTGGTTTTCAATATGTGGGCCACAATCCCTTTGGGGGATGAATGACTTTTTGCAGGGGTTGTCTGAGATCACTGAAAAGCACACATATTTACATAAAGATTCATAACAAAATTATAGTTATGAAGCAGCAATGAAAATAATTTTATATTTGGGCATCACCATACATAAGGTTGAAGCATTAGGAATTCTGAGAGCCATTGATTTAGAAAAAAAATCTCCTTGCTTTTGAGCTTTTTTGTTTTTTAATATTGGTGATCACAAACTAAGTTGTTTCTTTTTAATCAGAAATGTAAGTCAAATTTAATAAACGACAATGCAAAAATTGTCTACGTGTAAAAACAAATTTGTTGTGGAAGGGCCTGCATTCTTTTCTAACATTGGACTTAACACAAGACATCCTGCTGTAGAAGGCAGCATTCATGGGTAAGGTAAATTTCATAATCCTGGGATTTTTTAATAATTATTTTAAATAAATAAATGTCATTTATTAGGCCATGAAGCAGGAGGGAATACAATGAGTTAAACTAAGTTCATAAAGGCATGCTTGATGTGTGGAAAATGATGTGTTGTTGAAATAAAGAAAATGTGAATATCATTACAACAAGTGGTAAACATAATGACCATAAATTAAAATGATATGGCTAAGTAAAAATAAAATAACTGTTCTGTTGATTTTAATAACATAAATTTTTAGAAAATTATACTTCAGAACATAATTTCAAATACAGATTACATCCATATAACATATTGTTTACCAGATTGCCTCATAAACTATAGACATGATACTTGTCTGATTTAATATAAGGTAAAAATAATTTAAGATACGACGTACAATTTGATACTGTCTTCCAATTTTATAAAATCTGATGCCCAAATCAAGAAAATTTATCTCATGAAAAAAAAGAAAAATTGAGTTTACTAAATAATGAGTTTTTAGAATTATATTGAATTATATTATATATAAGTTCAGTGAAAACAATTTTTAAAATATTATTATGCATATGGATACATACATATATAAATAATCAGTTGGAATAAGTTGTCTTATCAAGAATTTTAGATGGGTGTGTTGGGCACACCTTTAGTTTTGGCATTCAGGAGGCAGAGGCAAGCGGATTTCTGAGAACGTGAGACCAGCCTTATCTATATGAGTCCCAGGACAGTCAATGTTACATAGCAGGGCCTTGCCTTAAAATAAAAAATAAAGAAATTTTACTTTTCTTATTAAAAAATGTTTCCCCAAATCTTGAAAATAGTTCAAAGGAGCTTTTTGAATTGATATATTTTTACATATATTCTTCATCTTTCTGAAGTCAATATTTATTAGACATTCATTAGAGAGGTAAGCCTAATTTACATAAAATGATGCATGAGATTATAGGCTAAAATGAATTTAAAAACACACACACACACACATAATCCAGAGGGGGAAGATTATCAAGTTCAAAACCACAAGGTTAAAGAATGGAAGTTGGGAGCGAAAGCAGTTCTTCATTTGCAGCCTATGCCCACTATGTTTGTCATGATTCCCTAGTGGGGGGGATTCCCTAGTGGAAAGATGAAGAGATTAAAATATCCAGAGAGGAAACATCTGATTGAAGGCGAGGTCTCCCATCCATTCAGCAGGCAGCCTAAAGTGACTCTTGGCCTGATAAAAATATTGCCATCTTTGAAGACTGAGGGTGGGGGCTGGGTGTGTGATCTCCCCTCATCACCCCCTGCCCCCGCCCTGCCATGCTTAAAAACAGAACAAAGGCAATGCATGAGATAAAGGCAAGGCTGGCCTTTCTCATTTTAGGACCAAATAAACTCCCGGGAGCCGCTTCTGTTTTAAAATCGATGTGGCTTTGGTTTCAACAATGGGCGTGTGCAATGTGTCCTTCCTGGGATGTTAAGTGTGCTGCAGCATTCACGGTCGCTAAAACAGTGGACTCTTCCTCCTAAGTGCTGCAAGCTCACCTGCTGCACTTGCTTCTGGGCTCCCATTCACCGCTGTTAGAACAGCTGGGGATACATTCGGCACCTACCTTGTTCTTGGGGTACAGGTACGGCACCACTTTCTGGAAGACCTTGGGCACTTGCTCCATCGTGTCATTGTTGACAACATGCAGCATACAGATCGGGAGTGTTGTGTATACTTTAGGGACCAAGATCATGTCTTGAGGAACCAGAAACGTTTCTCTGTAATCACAGAAGCATGAGATTTAGTAGTGGAACTCATAACGTTTTAAGTAGAGTTTAACCAACGAGCCTTTGTGAAACTTTAAGATTGCAAATAACTAAAAGGCTTGTGGATCTTTTTTATTTCAAGTTATTATTACTGTGTTATTTTGATGTATAAAAGCAAACCCCCACTTTGTACGACGTTCATGACTTGTCCCCAGTATGCTGCTGCTTGGAAAGAAATGTTGTCTAACTATACTGGAAACAGACTGATTTATCATGCTAACGTATTGACTGAAAAAAATCTATAAACTGTTTACATTTTCCTATTTTGATATAAGGACAATTGATAAAATTCTCTGACATCCCATCGCATATGGAGAAAAAAATGTGTATATGTATGGAAAAGTTTTAAGCAAATATGAAAGCAGTCTAGGGGCTGGTACTTTTACTATTATGCCTGAAACTGCATGTCTTAATACTGCGTGCCGTCTGAAGATGGAATCCTGCACCACTTGCCTGAAGACTATAAACCAAGAATTCGGTGGCTGGTCTGGATAGTTGACCGTGTAGTCAGCAAAGGCAACCTTGGTTTCTTCATCTTGATAGCATGGGTAAGACTCCATAGACTTACACTTGCTTTTAAACATTAGTCTAGAAATGGAAAAACAACTTGGATATCAATGACAAAGCATTTTTAAAAGAAGCTCCTGTTACAAAAGAGAAGTAACCCTTGAAATAGCAAAATATCAGACACCAATGTTTTCCCGGTTGAGGTCAAAGAGACACTGTGTGAGTTGTAGCAAGTGGTACCAAGAAAGGGAAGCATTGTGGGTCAGTCATGAATAACACCTTTCAAATGCACTTGAAGTTATCTGAGGATTTTAACTGAAGGAGAATGTAATTCCCAAGCAAGGGAGTACTTAATTTCATACATGGAAAATAAGGCTGGATATTTAAGCTCTATATCTGGGGGAAAGGAAGCAGGCAAAGCAGTTGTAAACTAGGTTGAGGCCCCTGAAGGATCCAGATAGAGACTAGAAATTTGAAGGAAGCTTGTGAAGTTAACGTGAGCAATCAGTTTGGAAAATTCAATGATGAAAAACTAAGGACACAAACAAGAGTGTAAGATTAGAATTTTCTTCCTCTATGCTTTCTGGCTCACATAACTGACTAAAATGAATCATGAGATCTGCTTGCTCCCTGCAGGGAGTCTGTGGCTACTTCCGCAACAGGGTGGGAGTTGATGGGATGGATTCCTCCCTTCCTGCCTGAATCTAGATCTAGCCTAAAAGCACCAGGAATCTTGGATCCTTTTCACAACATCACAGGTGTTATCTCAGATAGAGGCCATTATGGCCACACAAAACAGTTCTTTATTGGGAATCTAGAAGCGTTTTTTACCTTAGGAGAGAAAGTGCATACTGCTCCAAATTTATCTCTAGTACTGCCCAAATTTTTTGAAGTGTATCTGAAACACTGGCATTTTCCTTCGTGTCTAAATAAAAATAATAATAGTAATAATAAATAATAACATTAACAATAAGAGTAAATATTAAATCCATAAGATATCTGAACAACGAACAGCCTTCATTTCGCAGGTAAAAACTCTGAAATTCCCTGTAGGAGGCATGTACATCTTTGGGCTCACAGATAAGCAATGGAAAAACCAGTAATGTCAAGCACACATGGTTGTCCCTTCAAGGAAAAGCATATATAATCTGTTTTTCAGCCAGAAGATTGTGAGGGGGTGTGGCTAATAGTCCAATACCCTCTGTGCCATCTGTATGGCCAGGCCGCATCAGCTACCCCAGAACCTATGAGCTTGCTTATCTTGAGCCTGTCTTCCGCAGTTAACCTACAGAAGCTATCTTTAAGGAAAATGTCACTTTATAAAAAAAAAAAAAAAAAAAAAAAAGAGTTTTGAAGTAGTCATGTCTTAAACTTTATTGTGCACATGGGACTGTGTTAGTTATCACCAGGAAACTTCTCTCCAAATTGTGCTGTGCTCAAATATGCCTAAAATAAACTACCAGAGTGAGACTCAGAGTTCGAACCAGCACCAGCCACTGAGTTCTATTGAAATTGATTTCATTCTTGCCTCTTGTGGATCCCCACTCTGCTGGCCACGGTGTTTGCAGAGTTCAGAATCCATGAGGAAGATGGCTCCAGGCTCTCCAGTTTCGTAAGGTAAAGTCATGTTTAAACCATAGATAGTGCTCTAATGTCTAGAGGAGAGCACTGCTCACAGTATTCAACTGTTTCCTCTCATCTTTAGCCTGAAAACAGATGGGTTCTTGGATGTTATTTAAGAGATGCATGAAACAGTTTACCTAAGGAGATCTTCTGTCATACCAGAAACTCCTGTGAAAAACTTAGTTCAGAAAAGGCAACCACACAATTATTCTAAAGAACACACCTGGACGGATGACACGAACCTTAATCTATGGCACTGTCCACAAATGGCTTCACAGCAAATGGACCCACAGGGGTCAAAGTCAAGGCATCCAAAACAGGCAGTCCAGAGTTTCTTATTGTCCTGCCTGACTGTCGTTGCTGCTCTTCAGGATATGACATCGGAACCACAGCCTTTATTTATCTGCTGTAATGCTGATGTAATAGAGCCAAAGCCTTGCTTGTTTGGATGGCTTCTCTGAAACTCATCATCACGGGTGTGTGACCCTGAGATTCATTCGATGAATGTAAGTGGACATGGCACCTCAGGTCAGCCTCAAACTAACACTAGCAATCCTCTGCCCTCATCCTGAGTGCTGGGACTATAAGAGTGCAGTAGCAGCTGTACTGTTTTCCTATGGCAAACTATTTACTATATGCTTTTAAAAATAACCTTTGGTATCCTGACTTTTCACTCCCTAGATAAACATTTCAATATTGCCATTAAATATTTTCCATAGATGTATTTTTTATAACAAAACGTTTGTGTAAAGTAAAAAGGTCTCTCCTAGATAAATCTTTCCTCTCAAAATAGCAATGGACATCATATGATGGAAATGATTGAAAACACCTTTTGAATTTTCATCTGATAAACTAGGCATTTCTCCCCCACAATTCATTGGATATACCTGAAGACATTTCACTCCACAAATGTGAGAGCATATTGAAACACATTTCTGTTGCCTCATGCACAGAAGCACTGGTCTCCTTCATTCACCTCTGTGACAGTCAGTCTGAGAATGTACAATAATCTCCTACTTGGCTGAAGCTACACTGGAAACTGTTGCAACCAAACTGGGGATGGCTGAAAAGAACTCGCGGAAGAGTTGGAAATTAAGCCGATCATTTTCTCAATGATTCATGGCACGTACATCTGTTTCAATGTGGTCTTAGTGCATGTGTGCATCTGTGTGGACACGTGTGTGCAATAGGCACATGCACATGTGCACACACACATGTGGATGCCAGAAGTTGAGGTCAGGTGTCTTTCTTAGTTGCTCTCTATTATTTACCAAGGCAGGGTCTCTTGCAGAACCCTGAGATCCTTGATGTGGCTCAACTGGCTGGACAACTGGCCACAGGGATGCCCTCTATCTGCTTCTCAAGTGCTGGGGCTGCTGGGTCACCACACCTGCACAGCTTTTCTGCAGAATCTGGGATCTGAACCCCAGTCCTCATGCCTGGGCAGAAAGTACTTTTTCTACTTCCTTGTCCCAGCCTTGACATTTATCCTTTCAGTAAATATCCATTGCATGTACCTGACATCTCAGACACTGCTTCTCATCCTGAGAATGAGAACATAAACTCTGACCAGTTCCTTGCCTCCAGGAACTTCAGTACTTAATAGATTGAATTAGTCCTGTAAGCAAACTTACTCTAAAATACCCTAATCACATAATGGAACACCCATTCCTATACATGTGGATCCATTTTACATATGTAAAATCATACCTGGCATTCTGGCTTTCATGAGCAGTCTGACATAAGTCCCTTTCCACATGGACTGGATTTTCACTGCCGCAGCTATTTCCTCGGGAGAATACTCCTTCTCGTTTATTGGCATAGAGTATTTAATGTCTACCCATTCCGCTGGCAAGAGAAAGACAAACACTGGATTGGGATTTATATTTAGTTCCTTCCCAAAAATCTTAATGCCTACAACTGTGAAATCCTTCATACATAGAACATTCCACAAGGATGGATGGAACACCCCATTTTGCATTGTCTACTGAGCTCAGGTGAATGCCTGGAGAAAGAAGGGGCATGAAGCTATGGTATTTTCATGATCTACCTTGGATTCCCATCAGAAAGTAGCTAGAGGCTTCCCTCAGAACTGAAAGGAAACAAAACGTGGTAAGAGGAAGGAAGGAAGGCAATTGGATTGGGACATCTTTCAAAGTTCCTTCATCCGTACCAGGTGGGTCAATGGCGAATTCGGAGGGATTCAAGGTTCCCCTGTAGGTACATGTAAGGGTTAGGAAATCTTTCAACAGACCTTGGAAGCCCCTGGAGCATCCTAGAGAGGGCTCCACTGGTCTCTGACAGGTCTGTTGTCTCTGCTACACAACAGCTAAACTTACCCTTTTGAAATTATCATCACTTCCATGCTCAGATACTTAAAATGAGTCAGTACCTAAAGAGGCATCCTCTACGAGGGAATCCAGTAAGTCCATTTCTAAAACCATAGCCCGAAATGCAAATTTGAAGTTTAAAGGAGGCTTGGCTACTTGAGATTTTTTCATTAAACGCCACAATGATATGTGGAAAACCTGAAAAAGATAAAAATATTCACACACACACACATGCACACCACACACACACAATGCACACCACACACACACACACACACACACACACACAAAATTAACAATAGTGGCAACATCCAGATTGGATGACATATGGCGCTGAGTTGTTCTTCGCTGCTGAGAGCATCTGTTTGAATGTGTGACAATGTGGGCATTGGCCACTGCACACTCAGCTGGCTGTCTGGGACACGTACTGTAGTCCACCTTGACGCTCACACAGCGGTAAAATGGTTTCTTTCCCCTCTGCTTGGCTCTTCTTGGCTGGGCTTAATCTTAGTTTCTGCTTTGCCAACAATATCCAACATCAGTTACAAGTGAACAATGATAAAATATACTTCTAGTGCAAAGAATATTTTACTCACACTTACATTAAGCAAGGTGAATATTGTTGGTTTACACAAAGTTACAGTTTAGTTGAATGCCCTGTGTTTTTCATTCTGCCTTTGAAACCCCCTCCCTCAAAGGTCAGGTGATAAGGTCTGAGATGTTTTCTGTTGTCAAAATTGGGTGCTATTGACATATGCCATGAAAACAAGTGTTCTGTGACACATCCCACAGTGCCCAGGATGTTCTCTTAACAAAAATAATTTAGCCTGAATGTCAATAGCATGGAGGTTAAAAAAAAAAAAAAGATCAAAATAAGTAAAAACAGATGCTGCTTGCTTGCTATGCTGCTGGAGTGGACCAGTACCTCTCAGTTTTCTTCCTCAGGAGACAACCAGGAAGAAGTAGCCTGACTTCCCTTCCTGCAGGCTATCTAGAAAGCCAGAATACTACTCAGCTCCAGCAGAAGGTTCTGAGAGTGAGAAGACTAATGTTCCTAAAGGCAACCTGAACAACTGACAGAAGCACTGCTGGTGAGTGCCAGCCTTTCCTCTCCTTTCTGAAGACATCCTTCCCAGCTCCGCAGGGGCTTCTGGAGGGCTGAGCCTCAGCAGCCCACTGCAGCCATTATCATATTCTCTAATTAATTTCATTCCCTTTCTCATCTTACTCCTCTAGATTCCTCCCTGCTTTCTGAAGTCACTTTCCCCAGAAACAGTCTCTATGTAAACCACTTGCCCTGATTCAGCATTTGGGGTTCATCTGGTGCATCTTTCAGATGGGAGCTTCCCTGCTGTGAGCCTCAGGCCGGGAACTGCTTACCCTGAAGTGCTGAGCAGTGAGTTCTTTGTTGTAGAGGGGGATAGGATAGTGGGCTGCTTGTAGATCCCTCAGAGCTGCGGACAATTTACCTCTGTCTTTGAAACTAGCAATCACATTTCCAATAGCTTTCATAATTATTACAGACTGTTCTGTAAATCGGTAGCTCTCCTGTGGAGACAGAGCACATGTACAGCAGCCGATCTCACGTCTATTTAAGGGCAAGCAAGTTTACAAATGTTCAGCCTCGAGAGGAAAAATCCTCCACCGTATGCTTGATTCAAGGCTGTTTTATTCATAGAGAGTAGATATAGCTGAGTATTTCGTTGGATGCTGGTCTGGGAGACATGTAACAAAGGCTGGAAGTCCTAGGAAAAGTACTGAATACAGGGCACTAGGATGTGGTGGGGTCAGGGAGAACGCCATAGCAATTGTGTCAAGAGTTAGTTCTGAAGGCTGTCTAGGATGTCAGGCTGACAGAGACTGGGATTTTGAGGACTGAGGATTAGAGAAGATTCCAGGAAGAGGGTCTTGCAAAATTAAAAACAAAACAAACAAACAAACAAAAACAGACAGAGGACTAGCTTGGGCTGCTTGCTCCCTCCAGCTATCCATTCTGAGAAACAGTAAGAGTTCCAAGCTGACAGAGATCCAGGAGTCAACCCAGTCTGAACTGTTTGAGGACTGTCCTGGTTTGTATGTACTGGATGGTGCTGGAGTTGTCTGGAGCAGCACATGCCTGCTAAGATAGAGTCAGGAAAACCGAGCCATCTTTATTGTTTCTCTACAGGGTTCCCTAGGACAATGATTGTCCCATATCTCTAAAGAAACAACCAACCAACCAACAACAACCAAAACAACAAGAATAAACAAGGAGACAAAGGACAGCTATGAAATCAACTTGTGCTTTCTTAAATGCCAACCAAGCAGAATGAAAAACACATGTAGAGAAGACAGCACAGCCAACAGAAGGAAGCCTGGAGGAAACTCGTAGAGTCCTGCCCAGCCAGCGTAAGGGGCATGAGTCAGATCATGTGGGAAAACCCAGTCAACCCTTGTGTTGCCACAGGGTCTTCTGGCTACCTTAGACAATCCCATGTTTGCTCTGCCTGGAGTTTTTAACTTGTTTTCTTGGGTTTTTAGTTTATTTCATCTTGATATTTTTTTAGTGAGAATTGTTTTATGTGAGATAATCCTTTTGTACATTTTATCTTCACCAAGGCACCTTTAATAAAGAGCTGAATGGACAATCATTAGGCAGGAAGAAGTTAGGGCGAAATTACAAGAAGACAGAAAAATTCAAGTGAGTGAATCTACACAGAAGGAGTTGGACATAAAAAATGAAGGAGAGGCTTAAACCCACGTAACAGAATGCAGATGAACAGAGATAGGTTAATTTGTTCTACGAGCTAGAGGGACAAGTCTAAGCCAAGGCCAAGCTTTCATAATTAATAAAATCTCTGTGTCATTATTCATGGCCTAGTGGTCCTGAAGAGAAAGTGCTGCTACAGTTATTAGAGGTGAGGACGTTTCAAGAGTCGAACAGCAGAAAATACACCTTCCAACCTTCCCTAGACACACGCATAGACAGAAGACACTGTACGAGAGGAAGCATTTTAGGGGCCTTGCTGCATTCATTTTCTCTTCAGAACAGAGAAAGGAGCAAGAGGTAGCGAGGAAAGAGAAAAAAGAAAGAGGAGGAGGTGGTAAATGCTTCCAGGAGGCCACAGTGATCCTTTGAATCCTGGGAATAATCCTGGGAATATGCACTCTAAACTCCTCAGAGTAAGGAAAGGATGGAACGGGGAGGAATGCTCAGGCTATAAATGGCCTTCTAAAGGCCTTTGCTGGTGCTTTATCCTTCCAAAGGACCAATGCATCTCCCCGCGTAGTGATAGAAATGAAAGGCCCAGCAGAGCAGCAGTGGGTACACTGGTTGGAGAAAAATTAATTTTGTTTGTTTCCCTACAGATTGTTAACTCTACAGACTACATCTGAAGATTTCTTAAAGGATATACGAATAGTTTAATAGGTTAGAAAAGGAGGTGTAAACTAAATGCATTTTAAAAATCAAAATAAGACTGAGTTTAAGCTTTTGAAATCAGAGAGAAAGTAGGAAGTTTGCTAAGATATTTACCGGCTCAAAGTTGGGCAGTACGACATCTTCATCCCCGATGACAAATGTCATCATGCTGCAGACATGTAAGGCGTGTCCCACTGGGGAATACGCATTGAAGAGTAGCATATGCCTCCTAGAGAGAGTGAACACCGAGTAAGGAGGGCGCTTCCTCTGCCGGATGTATTTCTAGCTGCTGGATCAGAGTTTGGAGTCAAAGCGAGTGAAGCATTATATAT